AATAATGGGTATTTTAAATCATACAATTTTCTTTTTCTTATCAAACGACAAAACTTATTGAACAACCTTGTATGTGATGTGAAGCGAGATGCCAATGCCGAAATTTTGGTGCAAAATTCGATCTTTAAGTAGCACCACATGGAAGGCATTTTGAAGCCGATGTGAAGAATTTAATGTCTTTGTTCAATGCAAGTATTCGTATAACAACTAGGCAGATTGCTGATAGCTTTAATTTTTTTAATGCGACCATTCACAAGCACATGAAAGTTCTTACAATCAATTTCGAAGCATAACATATGGGTTACTTCCGTTCTTTCTGAACGAAATTTTGTAAAACATTTCAACATTCAATAAAAAGATTGTGTTTACATTATGCCAAAAAACTAAAAATATTTAGTGAACGAGCCACAATCTACTTATCTCAGCTTTATTATTCGAGAATTTTTGATTTATTGCGCTGTGTTCAATTAGAGATTTCGTAAAGGCTACTAAACTTAAACTCATTATTTTATAACTCCCGACGAATAGACAGCCAGGCCTAACTCAAGTAACTCTACTTAAAATATATCTAAATGAATAAGCTATAAATATCTACAAAATTTTTTGTCTAATAGACGAGCAATATTACTAAAATCTCGCGTCACATTTTACGCCTGCAGTTAAATAAGAGGATTGTACCAAATATACTAAAGGTAGACACAGTGTGTGCATTAGAATAGCCACATAAAAACGCTTGAATTAAGCAGTAGCAGAATAACCTAAATTTCGCTGCTGCCAGTAAAATGCAAAGCTATGCACATAGACGCAACTTTAGGTTTTGTGACCAAGTAGTCACAATCGAATCGTTTTTTCCATAATTTTTGAAACAAAATACAGCACGTTTACCGCAAGCCATGCTGCATGCAACTAGTGCATTTGCAACCTCTAGTTTATATGCAGTCCAGCTGCGCTTTTTACGTCAACTCTATGCATCTTTGCGGCTTCACACAAACACAAAACATATTGCCGCATACTTTAGCAGTAAAACAACAACGAAAAGCAATACCTACATATTTATGCAGCACAAAACATTATACAATGAATAATGAATAAACAACTGAGTAGATACAATATATGACTGTGCATTCAATGGCATAACGCCTGGTAAATATTGCACTTATAATATATTTGCATATAGCATACATATACCTGAAAATACACGCACACTTGGGCATATATGTATATTCCTGAATAGAAATAATGGAAACCGCAGTTGAAGCCGCAGCAAATTGTGAAGGTGTGATTGCAGTTTTTGCAGCTTTTATAGCAAGTGTTTATTTTTAACGGTTTTTTCTTTGCTGACACGGAACAGTCTTCATTTTGTACATGTTTACCATTTCGAGTAACTTGGAAAATAAAAGCTCAATTTTTCAATTTATTATTTGTGTAATATTTGCTTTATAAATTTATTAAGCTCAGCCTTAATATATTAGGAATCGTGCAATGTTTGTTGTTATTTTTATAAGTGCCACTAAATTATGGTTTTATTTGAAACACGTAAGTGCTTAAATTAACCATTTTAATTTCTCTACTTTGCAATAAGTCGTTGCTCTCGTAAAACTTATGGTAGTGATGAAAAAAATTTTCCAAACATAAACTTGATCCAATATTCTGCTTATTCATATGATCCGATCTGAACAAATTCTTCAGAGATTACATTATTGATTTAGGTAATAATTCATGCCAATTTTGTCAAGAAATCTCATCAAATAAAATAGTTTTCCAACAAAGCACTTGACTCCAATCATTTAGTTTGTACGGCAGCTATACGCTTTAGTGATCTGATCTGAAAGATTTCTTCAGAGACTACCTTATTGCCTTAGACAATATATCTTACGCCAAATGAGCTTTCCATACAAAAGATCAAATTTTCCTATTATCTGTATATTTATATTTTATGTATCATAAGCCTTTAAGTAGTTAATGGGAAAGTCAGTTCGCATAAGGAATTCTGCAAGCACTAGAAATATTGATAGCCAGCAGAAATAAAATTCGTTGGAAACAACATTACGTATAGCATAATTTTTGTATGTATATGCCGCAGGTTTGAAATTAATAAGAAACGAGACCAAACGACAACATTTATGGAACGATCCGAAGGCAATGGTTCACTGGAAACTCGATATGCGATAAATACTAGTGACACACACCTTTTTCGCAAAAACAAAGTAACACAAACGCACAAGTAAGGCTGTGAGAAATTCTATTTTGGTTTCGGTCTAAACACAAGCAAGTAATTTTAGAGGAAATCGTAGGCGAAAAAGCATTCAAAGCAGTGAGAAAATGTGAATAAAAAGTAAAGCTTCTTTAAATATTTAATCGAAAACACGAATTAGCTGAGCGTGTTTTAAGGTTTAACTCACGACTAAGACCAAAAATAGTAAGACTTTGTTCATGACTTTAAAATTCTTAATTTATTCTTCAAAATCTATGTCGTCGGAAAACATAATTTCACAGACGTTGCTGCGATGCTGTTTTTAGAAAAAAAAATTAGTGATTTTGGAACCAATCGTGCTTTTCTTTTCCCAATGTTTAAAGATCTTTATTGATCATTCCTATATTCCAATGATGCTAGTAAGATCTCTGGCTGTTAATCGTTGATTCTTATGCACCAGTTCCTTTCATCGTCAACGCGTTCACAACCCACTTTGAATAATTTGTACACAAGTAAAACACTTGCTCGTGAGAAGCCGTTATCACCGAAGGCCTTTTCCAATATTCTGAAAGTTTCGTCATCAGAAATTTGATAACGCACACAAGATTCAATGGCACTTCTTCGTTGAATAATTTCACTATTAATCGCCGAATGCACTTTCTACACTTCAGAAAGACCAGTTATACTAAATACTATTTTGATGTAGCAGTTGGCATAGCTGTCACTGAGAATCATATCAACTTAGAACAAAAATAATTGGACGAATGGATTTTCGCGCAAAATGTATATTTTAAAAAGTCTTACTATTTTTTGCACGCCGTTTTGCATACCGATGCAAATGAATTTATTATTCAAAATTACATTGAGGAATTAGCGAAGCATACAATTCGCAAATGTTTGTATTCACCAATAAAGAAGGTTTATTAGATTAATCGATTACGCTTCACTAAACAAATCTTCTATAACTATAACAAAAGGCAGCTCAGCATTTAAATAATATCATGCCCACATTATGACTACGATTCAACGAAGATATGTTTGTATGCAACACATTCGTACTTAGCTTATAAGAATAATAAATTTAAACAAGTAAAGGAGTGCTATGTTCATGTATAACCGGATATGTTGTACTCTGCAAGTTTCATTGATCAAAAGCATATTATTTTTTAGAAAACTTTTTCACCAAGCTTCATTAAAAGTATTGCACATTTTGGGTCACGTTTAGATGGTTTTGGCGATGTTTACGATTAGTGAAATTATTCGACAAGGAAATTCAATCAACATCAAGTGATGATCACCTCATCAATAAAATAGTCGAAATGGTGGAAAATCTTACTGGCATCGTTGTAATATCAGAAGAAGTAGTTAAAACTATTTTAAAAGAAAATGTGGGTATCAGAGAAGAGAAAGCTTGATTTTTCCCAAAGTCACCAAATCTTTCGAAAAAAAAGCATCGCGTTAACGGCTATGATCGTCTGTTTCTGGGTGGTAAGAATAGATCCAAGATTCATCGCCAGTAATTCTGTATTTCATGAAATCCTGATACTTTCCGACTATCGTGGCAAAGCTGAGCCGAAGCTTATGTTCAGAGTTTTCTTCGATTATTGTGGCATGGTGAACTCCGAATTCTTTCCGAGCAGCCACATCTTCAAATGATATGGGTGTTATACATATAATTGTAGGCTACTGGCAGGACATGCATGAATAGAATATAAAGAAGAGGGCCCAACACACTTCCTTGTGGAACCGCGCTTTTATTTCTCTAAGTATAGAATACCTGTCTCCTTGTTCAATGCGCAAGTAGCGACCTGATAAATACGATTTTACGATATCATAATTCTGTTTCAGTAAAATCGGTTACAACTTCAAAAGCAGTATTAAATTCTGAGAGATACACGACAATTTCAATGACAGTTGGCTTTGAAGAAATTGGCAAGACCAACCACCGAAGATAGATCACTCATCAAGATGACAATGCTGGCTCTCACATATCGATTCCAAAGTTGCATTTTTGTGCACTTAAAACAAGTATTTGATGAGTCATTCACCGTATACTTGTATTACTGGCTTGACACTGAATGATTCCCTTTGATTCCCGTACATGAAAGATAGACTAATATGTCAACGTTTTACGACAAGTGAAGCGACGGCTGATGCGTTTAGAACGCTTGTTTTGGAAACAAGTCAAGCAGAGTGGCAAAAGTGTTTCGAAAATTAATTCCAGCACATGCAAAGGCATATAGATCTTGATGCAGTTTATATAGAAAGAGAAAGAAACGATTTTTGATTATTAAAATCTGTTTCTGTTCCTGAGACCCCAAAAAAAATAGGCAACTCTTGAAATTGATTGGAAGTATAATTTGCTTAATATTTGATGCACTTTCGAAATCGCTTGCAACAGTTCAACTACATATTCAAGTACTCTACTCGAGTGGTAATCCTACTTCTATTCTTAAGCGCGATCAATATTCTTTACTTCAGATGCGAAAGTATACATTAAAAATTGACAGAGATACATACTACGCTTATGCTTCATTTCTAATAGTTTTTTTTTTCGTTTTTACTCATTGGTTTTACCCTTGACGAATATTCGCGTAAATCATAAATAATCGGAACTCTGCTGAACACTGGAAACATTTTCAAACGAAAGCAGCGATCTGAGCTTCACAAAAATGTGTTTGATTTGCTGTGAGCCGAAAATGATAACAAAGAAGTTCGGAGGTTATCACAGATGTAGGTAATACCCGTCCATGTATAATACGGTGATAATATTAAAGAGTTGTGAGCACGCCAGCTTAGCTTTAACGAAACAGTCGCTTAGAGCACGTCGCAGAAATTAAAATGCTCCGCTATATATTGTTCCTGTCAGTACATTATTTATTGTGGTTTCCCGTTGAAAATGTTTGCGGTGAAACGTTAGATTCAAGCACAATTTATGACTATAATTGTGATGTGCAAATAGATGTCGTTAAAACGTTTATTAAAGAATTGCAAGATGTGCGAAAGCGGGAAGATATTATTTTGGCACAAATATCTCTCATTGAAACCAAACTGCAATCGGTTGAAGAACAGCTGAGGTACTGCAATCTATTATTAGTAAAGATTATTTTTACTATTTTAGATAAAATTACAGTGTGCGAAAGTCGGTGGCTTCAAGCTGTTTGGAAGCAGCAGCTGAGAGCTTCAAAACTGGTGTTTACAATATTACATTGGAGAAGTTTAGTGACACACCGTTTGCCGTATACTGTAACGAAGAGGTGGACTATGGTGGTTGGTTGGTTATACAACGACGTGTCAGTGATGCCGTGGACTTTGATAGAGATTGGCGGGAGTATAAGAGCGGTTTCGGGGTGCTGGATGAAAACTACTGGATTGGTTTGGAAAAACTACATGCCTTCACCAGTAGTTGTCAGCATGAGCTCTATATCGAAATGCAGAAGTATAGTGGTGAAAGTTATTATGCGCGCTACTCAGAATTTGTAGTCGGCAGTGAATCGGAGGGCTATCCTCTTAGAATATTGGGTACTTATGCAGGCACTGCTGGCGATAGCTTGAAATATCACTTGGGTGCAAAGTTCACCACTCGTGATCATGATAATGATCGTAAATGTGCTGTATATTTCGAAGGCGCCTGGTGGTTTAAAAAGTGTTACTATAGGTAAGTGCAGCACCGTTAGCTTAGGACACGTGTATTTGAAATTTATGTGCATACTTGTAGTCATCTTAATGGAGCATATGGACAAACGAGCACTGGCGTCGAATGGTTCAGCATAGCTATGGATGAATCTTTGAAATCAGCGCAAATGTTGATACGGCCCACAGAGAAATGCCTAAGACGCATGTCACTGAAGGCCAAATGATTTTACATATTATGTGAAAAGAATTAAATTGTTATTAATTAAATGTTTTATTAATGTCTTAGTCAATTTTTCGATTTTATTGTAATTTTTGATTAACATTCTCATAAGAACAAAATAATGCTTTCAATTTAACAAAAATGTGAAATTTCAAAGCGAGAAAAAATATTTATTTGCTTTTGTAACTACTGAATTTCACGTGGAGGGCAGAAGAGTTGCTTTTATTGTGCGAGATTAGAGAATGGAAGCAAATATTATTCACTGGAAACCGCTTTATTCGCCTCTTCAGGTGTCGAAACACGTTGACCTATTAGTTCATCTTTTACGCCCGGGGATTGAAAATAAGTCATTTAATTCCATGTCAGAACTATGACATTTGCTTTGCAGTGTGTGGCGCTGTTTACTTCTGGTCAGCGTTGAGTTTCGAAATACCGCTATCGTGTTTCTTTCACTTGCTTTAGATTAAGTATATAATGGTATATATTCAATGACTAGCGCTGTTTACGAAGAAAGCGCAAAAATATTTGCTCATTTAAAGCCAGGCTAAGAGAGTTGAGACAAATAGTGGCAGTGTCCACAACAGCAAACTGCAACTGCAGAAATTCCGTTGACGCAAATGTGCACAATGAGCAATTTACAATGCACCGATGCTGCGCAGTTAACCGACAACCGGCATTCCGTGACATGACGATACGACGGCGTTGCCACTACACCCCAAGGTCTCTTACACACACCTCGTCGCCGTCGTCGCACCTTTGACTAATTTCGCACGCACAAAGACAATTGTGGACACGCAAGCTTATAGAGACAAGTGCATATATAAGAACACGACTACATGCGCAAGAATACGAGCGCATGCACTGACACTTGGGAGAACGCACACGCACACAACTTAATTCATGTCCTTCGCCATTGCGGGGCCTTTGACTCGCTGAGCGTTAATTCTACGTTTTGCAGCAAAGGACTTTTTTGTACTGAAATTTAAATGATTCTTTTTTTTATTTTTTTTTTCTGCTTTTTAGTGAGCAAAGGTGTCGACATGCAAATAATAGTCACACATGGTTGCCAGAACGGAGGCCATTTAGTCCTTACCGTGTGCGCTGCGTCAACTGCCTCAGCCACGCGATATGTGTGCGGTAAAGCGGAAAGGTCATTAAATTCACATGTGGCATGCCACACTAACCATATAAGATTCAACCGCAAATTTTCCGAGTTTGCTTTAGATATACTCATGCTCGTTTGTGTGCAGATAAATAGCTTTTTCAGCAACACCAAAAACACCAAAGCGTAGGACAATATTTTTATTGCACATATGATAAATGAAATTGGTCACTAGAACTTTTGCAGGCTGTTGCCGAGCTGTATGATTAATCGCACGTGCAACACCTGCATGAAATTAGTATAGCTCTGTAATTATAGTTGTGATTTATACAGAACAACAAACTACCATAGCAATATGAATGTATTATTATACAACAGCAGCACAGCAATGCACACACCCAGAGAACGGTGACGGTCGGGTAAAAGTTTGGAAGGATTTTCTATTTATTATTGATGTTCAACTATCGACTTGTATGGCAGCTATATGCTATAGTAGTCCGATCTGAAGAAATGCTTCAGATATTATACCGTTATTTTGTGTAATGATGTTTGCCAAATTTTCAAATGAAAAACTTGTCCATACAATAGATGGATACCGATCGATCAGCTTGTAAGGCAGCTATTTGCTATACTTGTCGGATATTGACGGCTCCGACCAATGAGTAGCTTCGTGGTGAGAAAAAATGTGTGAGAATTTTCTTACCGATATCTCAAAAACTGAGGGGCCATTATACGAGTAGAGCCATACGTTCAGAACCGACTAGCACAAAGAGCGAGTGCTACACTTACTAAATCACCTTAATAATGACGTGAGCAAGGTACTCAGTGGCATGTCAGGGTCTTACTTTGATCACCAGCCGAGATTTCAACCAAATCTAAATGCTTCAGTCCCGAAATCATAGTTCGACTTGCGTCAGAGGTCGCATTCGTTAAGAGCTTTAACAGGTCATTTAATGTTACTCAGGGACCACCACGGAAATTGTAAATAAAACCGGAAGTATGTAATTATTCATCATTATTTATTTTGTCGCCTTAAAAGTAATTCTCACCAGTTGTAGCACACTTATGCCAACGATTTTTTTAGTTCTCGAAATACTTTCCATAAGAACCTTTTGAAATGGTCTTCAGCTCCTTCAGAGAATTTTGTTTTATCTTCTCGATCGACTGAAAACTAATTCCACGGAGGGGAAGTTTTAGTTTGGGATAACAAGAGAAAACCACACGAAGCCAACTCTGGTGAATACGGTGGTTAATCGATGGTATTATCTAGATTTTTGGCTTTATATTCAGTCACAATCGTACTCCTTTTAAAAAAAAAAAAATCTCTTTAACGAGACGAGTCGAAAAAGAACCCATTCATACCCAAGATATCAACCAAAATCTTTCGAACGTACTCGCGAGATATGTCGTGCTCTCTTGCCATCTCTCTAGTAGTTGAATTACGATTTTCATGCGCCATATTCTTCACTTTTTCTTTTTTAATTTTCATTAATTGAAGAGATGGAAGGTCGTTCAAAACGAGATATGCCTATCTAGACTATCAGTCTTGTATTTTGTGTAACAAAACTATGTTCTCTTTTGCCACTCTCTCTTCGTACACAGTGAAGATTATTACTATTATTATTGTAAACATTTCAACATTCCAAATATTTAATTCATTGCGTGTTACATATTTCTAAACTCTTTTCAGTTAAACTATTAATTACTGTCAATTTATTAAAAGCCAATTTATTTGAAGAGCCCTGTGCTCTTTTCGATGACTTCAACTACCGCACAGCCTAGTTATGCCAATTAGACAAGTTTTCGCGTAAAGTTTCTATAAGTTCTCGCTGTTTTCCGCGCCTTCTGAAATTTCCATAACACCACTGTTTGCACAAGCGAATTTCTCAAATTTTGGCTATTGAAATCGACCACATCAATGGTGGTGCCATTATACACCTTCGCCAGCATATCGCCGCCCCCCATCGCTGGTCAAACTTTTTATTGTTTAGCAACTTCTGATGATCTCCGTTGACGCGAACAATGAGAAATCACTTGCATTGAAATACGCTGAATATGAGAGGGTGCTCATGCCACAGGCTATTGTTAGCTGTAAATTGCTGACTGCTCGAATTCGGCAGCACGTACCCAAGTGAGGCAAGGCGCACAGCGTATGCGGGCACACATTTTCGCGGTTTCAATGGCTTTTTGTTTGCGTGTGTGTGCATGCTGGCTGAAACTCAAAGCACGCAGATAAGTGCGCACTACCGATTGCAGGATTATGGTGAGAGATAGCTGCGGCAAGTAGGGAATGGTTGTATCTTGGTGTGATCAAAGTTTCGATAGCCACACTTGTTGTTGGACTACGCGAAGTACAAGCTTACAAGCTGGTTTGTGTTACAAATTGATGAAAAACACTTTAAAACAAATAGGGAAGAGCAAATATGGTATTTAACCGTACACTGTATGGTCTCGCGGTGAAAATGTGTCCATGTGTTGCAAATCAAAAGGTACGAAATCCCAACAAGGATGGTTAGGAAAATTATTCAATTAATATATTTAATACTTGTGTGCTTTGAGACCGTATAAGTCCTTTATTAATAATAACACGACTGAAATGATGGTGATCCTAGAACTGTGGTGACAGTGGTGACTAACATAATCTAAAACCTAAAACTTTCCATTGCAAAAGGGGTTAGGTCGCCGAAATAGCAGGACTGGCCGTGTAAAATCCGGGTCAATTTCGATAACGTACTACTGTGCCCAAAAAATTAGGTGGCATTGTATTTATTTTATTATTTATTCTTTATTTATTCTTTCAAATCAATTTCTTCCCATTCAAAGTAATCACCCCCGATGCAATGCACTTATGCTAACGGATTTTCCAATCTTCGAAACACTGATTGTAGTCACTTTCCTGGATGGCCTTCAGTTGCGTCTTCGCTGCGGCTTGAATCTCCTCTATCGTATAAAAACGGTGTCCCCGGAGCGGTCTTTTGACCTTGGTGAACAGCCAGAAGTCGCACGGCGCCAGATCAGGTGAATATGGTGGTTTAGGAACGATATGGGTTGAGTTTTTGGCGAAATGATCACGAATTACGAGGACAGTATGGGATGATTGTGTTTCCACAATTCCGGCCTTTTTAGGCGGATAGCGTTACGCAAACGACGCATAACGGTCAAATAATATTCCTTGTTGACTGTTTGACCGGTTGGAAGGAATTCCTAATGCACAACACTACGATAATCGAACAAAACAGTCAACATAGCCTTGATTTTTGAGGGCCTTTGGCGCAATTTTTTTTGGTCTCGGCTCTCTTTTGGCACGATATTCGCACGATTGATCGGTTGTTTCGGGGTCGTAAGCATAGATCTAAGTCTCATTGCCAATTATGATGCGTTTCATGACACCCTGGCAGTCGGAAAGCATTGTTTCACACACTTCAACGCGATGCCTTTTTTCCAAAAAATTCTATGTTTTCGGTACCAGTCGAGATTTGACGCGTTTGAGGCCCAAAACATCCTTCAAAATGGTATTGGCTGAGCCTTTCGATATGCCAACTTCATCAGCAAGGTCTCTAATTGTTAATCGACGGTTTTTCAAACCCAAATCTTTGATTTGTTGAACGTGAGCTTCGTCGGTTGAGGTTGATGGTCGCTCTGGACGCTCTTCGTCTTCGTCTTCGACACGTTCACGGCCGGCTTGGGCCTCGCTATACCACTTGTAAACATTTTTTTTTAGGCATATCCTCATAACCAGAGGCTTTCCGCACCATCCTCAACGTATCCGCAGCAGAAAATTGATTCCGCAAACAAAATTTAATGCAAATTCTTTGCTCAACAAATTTCGACATCGCAAAAAACGAAAAACTCACTTTCAGCAGCTCACAAAACGACACGTATCTCAAACACTAATTAATATTTTGATATGAAATTTGACATAAATGTGACCGACAGTACTAAAAACCTAAGAAAAAAAAAAGAGTAAT